GGGGGGGTTGAACAAAAAATTTAATGGAAGGTATTGATTAAAGCTGAATTAATTTGACTTCTCAACAGAATATTCCAGTCAACATCTTTAAAATATAATTCCACAACTTACATTGTAGGAGAAGTTAAGACTGTGCTCAACTCAAAGTAGTACCTAACAAAGCACACATTGTAAAATATATACATTCAGAATTATATTTATTTACATGTCCTGCTATTTCTTTTGGCATGCCATGTTGTATTCATACTGTACATTTTGAATAATCTTTCTCCTACTTACCACAAAAAACATAACTGCCAAAATTGCCTTGAAGACTGAAAAAAAAAATGTTGGGACCACCTGAACATGAAAAAAATGTGTTCTTGAAAAATAAATTATTTAAATGGCCCCTGTTGCAAATTTGGTGAGCTGAAATAAACTACAGGAAATCTTCCCCTTTATCGGCAAATACAAAATGCAAATCAAAACACATTGGCAACTGAATAATATACTCATGCGCATATAAGCTATAATAATCAGATTTTTATTTATCTTAGTTTGCTAGGTAATTAGCTCAATATCACATATGTAACATGAAAATAACCAAAAAAAATTGGAGTTCTGTAGTGTTAACATGGTGCCTTAAGAGCAGGGCAGATTAGATCAAGATTATGAGCATTTTTATGATATGTGATGCAAGCTTCAATAAATTATAAGATATTTACATATATTTTAAATTTGCAAGCTTTGTGTATTTTTTAACATTAAATCAAGATAGTTGGGTTATTTACACAAAATATTACTATAATGCTGTTTATTTTTATCTAAGTAACAACAGTCAATAATAAATATGGCCTCAACACAATATTTGTGTAAAATTACATTGACAAGTAACTGCAACAATTTTTTAATGTTTATAAAAGATGTATATAAATAACCTTAAGCAAATAATTTGCATGACACTAAGGACAACACCCTCAAAGACATTTATTCATGTAAATTTAGTGAATTTACAAAAATTGGGCTTTATACACAAATGTAGGCAAAACCCAAGGGAGGCAACATCACAGTAAACAACCCAAAAATGAGATCCTATATTGTCCCATGGCCCACAAAGCAATATTCTAATTTTGTACTAACATGCATGAAAGTAGCCTGGACAAAAATTTCAAATGTTATTTTTAAAAGCTTTCATTTTGACAGTACAAAGGACCTCGGCTACAGCCGATGTTGACGTCTGCCACACAAAAAACGCCACTCAGTGCAGGTCAACAAAGGCTTCCAAACATTGTGGAATGCAATTTTTGTATGGAATTCTGTACCCCCTGATGCACCGGGACGCCAGGCACCGGAGCGTGACGTTGCTGTGGTAGCTTAAGGTGTTCATAGTCTGGCCCGAAGCCAAACTGAAAGGTGTCTGGGACTTGCTGTTTGCAATATCACAGTGGGCACCTCGAATGAGGAGATCCTTTATCATTTCTTGTCGCAGGTTTTCTTGAGATTCATTTAGTCTGGCATTAGAGATGATGTGCAGGGGAGAGTTTCTAGAGCTGTCCAGGGCATCAATATCTGCACCACAATTTATAAACATAGACAGCAGAGTGTGGCTTGGGAACACAACAATAGCGTTGACATGAAAATCATCAACACAGATGCCGGGGTCAAGGACAATATGCAGGGGAGAGTATCCATTTTTCAGGCTGGGTTTGAGTTTGAGAAATAAATAAACCAGCCGGTGTAAATCTTTGCTCTCCTGTTCATTGTGAACCACACGGGAAGCAATAGTTATCAAGTAAATCATAGACAAAATGTTGGACTGATAAAGCTCGGATGCACTTGACTTAGATTCGCAAACTGATTCAGTGTTGGAAGCTTTCATGAACTGTTCAATTTCCTGCAGGCCATGTTTCAGCACACGCTCCACATCCGAGTATTCAAGATCAGCTTTGAGGGTCACCATCTGTGAGAAGACCTGAGAGAATCTGAGTAAGTCCTTGTTGATGGACCTGCTATTAGTTTGTCTGAGGATCATGGCATGCATCCAAAGAGCAATGCACCGATCAAATCGACCATTATCTGCAAACACAGCCCCCCTAAATATTACAGGATGAGGAATTTCTGGGTTGTTTGATCCCAAGATTCTTTCTCGTATTGTTAGGGCCTCCATGTGTAAGGCATCACGATTTGCTCGAATAGCATCCAATTCTTGCATAGTTTTACACTCCACGTGATTACCGTACGCAGAAACTGGTAGAAAATTAGGCTTTGGAACCTGTTCATATTTACCGGAAAAAGCACTACGATTACGGTTGTCCACCATGCGAAGAGCCATAGCCTCTCTTAGGTATTCATATGTTTTATGCAAATCATATGTTTCCTTGTCGTTAGCAAAGGAGGATCCAAGCAGCTCCAAGGCTTCAATCCTACTCAGTCTTAAACATTCTGGCTGCTTCAGAAAGTAGTGAACAATGTCTTCTTTACCACACTCGGCTGCGACCATTAGAGGTGTCATGCCCAGGTCATTCTCCAGCATGGACGCACCAAAATGGATGAGTTCTTTGACAACATCAAGGTGCCCACATTCTGCTGCAAAGTGAATAGAGGTGGCCCCACAATGAGCTTTGAGATCAGGGTTGGCACCTTTCTCCAGTAAATGCCTTACAACTTTTGTGTGGCCCTTGTAGCATGAAATCATCAAACATGTGTTATCATATTTATTAGGTATTGTCAAATCAGCCCCATGTTCTATCAGGTATTTCACGATATCCAAACGTCCATCAAAGCATGCAGCCCTCAAAGGTGTTGAATTGGTAGCAGTGGCATTGTTAACATTGGCCCCATTTTTTATCAGGAGCTCCACAATATCAAGGTGCCCTGCACCCGACGCACACCACAAGGCTGTTGCTTCATGAATGACATAACCATCAAATCGAACAGTTGATCTTTGTTCGATGTCCACATCAAAGTTGCTGAGTAGGACCTGAACAACTTTAGTCTCCCCCAACTTGGCAGCAATCACAAGAGGTGTTGTTTTTTGTCCATCAAATTCTGATTGATGGTCTAAAATTTCTTTGACAATTGGCTTGTCCATGTTCCATAGCAATGCAAATATACTGATTGCCATTCCTTCTCTGGCTGCGGAGTGAACTTTCTCCTTTAGTTGCTCAGTTTCCTGTTTAGTCAATGCTGCCATTATCTAGCAGTGGAGCAAAATTTACTGTATACCAGTATGCTTAAAACTAAATTATGTTTTGGCCATAAGCCATTTGGGTATAATTTTGTAAATTTAATTCTGGTTGTCCATCAACCTGATTGTTTCCTCATAACTTGCATAAGAAAGAAAATCTGCTTGATATAGTTGGCAAAAGCTTGCTTTAATTTTGCACATCATATAATATTCTGCTATCCAGCTCAATAAATACAAGTTCTCATCATGCAAAACATACTGTGGGAGAAAAAAAACATTAATTTTTGTTAATACATTAGTAAAAATAATTTATTATATCCACATGTAAAGAAATTATAGAAGTTTTAATTTCAAGTATACTGTTATCATTGTCATTGTATTATTGTATGGCATACTACCATAGAATCATATGTTACCGTTGTCAGTTTTGAATCATATATATTATTGGTTTGCACCAGTAACTAGGCTTACTATTTAAATATTTAATAATTAGAGGTAGGTGTAGGTATAGTAGCCAAACATTAAAATAATTATCAACATAGGCTAATACTAATATAGGCTTATATTTTACAATAACAGACATTTAACAAAATTATCTCTTCCTTAAATTTCAATGCAGTGGACAGTGGTTGCAAAATGGTGGGTTGCTCATTATCAAATCCGCAATGGGCATAGTAGCTATATTATCGGCATACTGATATACCAGACACGTCAACATCATTCTTATCTAACCATTCAGTACTTAAAATAGAAGCATTGTCAGTGTGAGCAATAATTGCCATAAGCTCTCTCTGTCTCCTGGCAGCTACTTGCATTAGACAAATCCTTTTTTGTTTAGGAGTAAGTGGTAATTTGTTATGCATTGTCGGTCCTGTTGAACATGCTATTCGAACATAACATATTATTGTTACTCACTTTACTTTCCCCTAATTCTCAAAATATCGTAGTCCTACTCTATCAATATCATTTATCTTGACTGCCTTTGACACTTGAACCTTGTCCTATACCTGCAACATGATCGTAAACATACTCCCTTAGTCATTTTCAACAAACAGAATCTACAGGCAAAGACGAAGAGAAGCCAATGTTTGACTTCTCTTGCACTAACAAAGTGTGATAAAATTCTGACCAGCCATCAGCAGTGCACAGACAGATACACAATAAATAAATTTTGTTAAAAGCCTAAAAATTATATTAACTATTTTAATTTACACTCATTAAATTTTTTAAAATAATGTGTAGTAATAGCCAGTCAATTTTTAAGATTAAAATTTTAATAGAGAAAACATGATTGTTGATGTCAATTAATCTTCCCCCCCCCCCCCCCCCCCCCCCCTGCCCCCCTATTTTGTTCACATAATTAATGGACGACCCCTAACTCAGTCAACTAACTGTATCTCTTCTCAGTGAGATTCTCAGCTATTCAAATTAAGGCTAAAGGCACTAACTAAAGGTAAACTTAACTGCAGTTGCAATAAATTATATTTTTGGGGAACAATATAGTATTTGCCTATAGTAGGCTATAGCAGGCCAAAACATTATGATTATTTAATTAAAATTATAAGAATAATTGAATCACTGAATCTGTGATCAATTCAATACCAGTACAGTGAGCGCTAACGGGCCGGATATTGGCCTAAATTTTATAAATGATTGGATAAAAATAATAATAATTAATATATTTATATGTTATATTTAGAATATATATAGTCTAGACTTAAGAGGCTACTTCAAAACAATTAAAACATAATTTAAAATACGGTACGATGTAAATGTAAATGAGTAATGAGTATGGTACTGACACTGACATGAACTAGGTCTAATTATTTTGTTGGACACATGTACGAATAAAATAAGAAAAAAATATATTTAAACATTTCAACTAACATATTTTTTAAAGGCATCTCTCCAACACTTTAATCGTATTAAATTACAAAATAAACCTAATTAATACGTACTTTGTCGATTAGCTTTACCTAAGTTCATCCATCTGTTGTTGACATTAGAGAACTCATAACTAGAAGAGCGCATGCCTAATAAAAAGAAACACTTCCTAGTGACAAATAAGTGTGTCTCAAATTTCTGATATTTTGAGGTCATCATTTTGCACATTTTTTAAAACGACGTATAACAAAAGTAAAGAATTAAAATGGATAGTCTTATTTCATTATATTTGGGTTATACAAACTATAGTAAATTTATTTTATACAAATTTCGGTGCCTGTATTTGGCTTTGAAATCTAAATAAAAAATGAAGTACTGCGTTAAAGCTGTGTGAAGGAAATAGTAGAACAATGACATGGAAGCTTGAAATATAAAGACAGGACAATTAAAATATAACATTTCGGCTAAAAGCATTCTTAAGCAGACAGGAAAAAAATGAAAAAACAATAAGAAATAGAAATTAGTTTTTAAAAACTTAAAGTTTCTGGAGTTATAAGTAAAACAGCGTGATTTTAAGATGAATTAATTTAGGCAAAGATTTTTATAAAGGGGTCAATGTTCAAAAATAATAATGAGTTGATGTATTTTTCCTGTCCAAAAGCATAGAGCTTTATTTTTATTTTTTAATTAATTTATTTATTTTTTCTTGTAAAAAGAAAAAAAAAATCCAATTAAAATCATTAATTGCAAACCCAACCAAAAATCTGTTTCTAAATTCGTCTATTCATTCTTCTTGTTTTAAAGAGAATATTCGTTGGGTGTATGCCACTCCGATCTAGATCGCAAGGCTGTTGATATATTCTATGTCTATATGAGCAGATAAAAAGTGTTGTCTAGCTCCATATAAAATATTTCTACATAATTGCATATTTGATCTATGCTCTCAATTTGTATAAAGATAAGGTACCATATGTTCAACTCGAATTATAAAAAAAAAAAATTATTGACTATGCGATCTTTTTAATAAACTTAAACTCTACCTGCTAAAAATACATAGCTTCATTAATTTTTTTTCTTGTTTAAAATATACAATAGTGATTTTTAAGCTCTCGTGAGTCATGAGATTGAGGTTAATTATTAATATATGAGGGATTGCGTTCAAGCAGTGTGCAGGCATCTGGACGAAACGTTCTTTTCATTGTACTATCTTTTCATTTCAAGCCTAAATATGCCCTTTTCACAAGATTGAGATACGCTGAAGTATCTACTTCCGAAAAAAAAAAAACGAAAAAAATTTTCTCATTTATGGCAGTTCTTATTATACGGTTGCCTCGCACTTATACTATGAAAAAAAAAAAAAACTTTACGGATAATCTATTCATATTTTGAACATTTTTACATAAATTGTTCTAAAGCCACGAAGAGCACAATTGATTGTGATTATAAATAATCACCGGTTCACGCGGAAAAATTCTGGCCATTCCATAATCATGGCAGACCCCGCCTACGAGCGAGTATTGTGTGTTAAAAATGAAGTTCTTGTTTACAAAATTCCTCCTCGGCCATCTAATAGAGGATACAGGTTCGTTTACAATATGACCCTTTCACTTAAATCTATATGGATCGCTATTGTCAACTGAACATCTTTGAAAATCTATTTTAATTAAGCTGGTGTGATGCCGAAAAGAAAACGAAATGGTAAAACTCCGGAGAAGAAAAAAAACAACTCACTCAACTAGTATTAGTTGACATATTTTTGTTTACGAATTGTTATCATACGTATAAAAATGACTGCAATCATTTTTTTAAAATAAAATAGAACCAGACAAATAAATCATTTGCTATTTTTACTTTTTAGTCGCAGTAAAATATGTAAATATGAGTATTGTCAGTCACTGTGACTGTGTCAACACGTCACACTACTCACACTCGCAGTCAGTGAGTAACAACAGTCACATCAGACTCCTCAACTCTTACTATAGACTGCTCAAGCATAGGCCCAAAACGTAAAATTTTTATGTGGAACAAGGCAGATGTGGGAACCATTAAACAGGACCTAAGAACATACGCAGTCGAAATTGACGAAATAAAAACCAATCAACTTTCACATCAAACTTAGGGAGTTTCTGGTATAATTTCAAGGACAGGATAAGGGGCCATCCATAAAGGAATGACGTCCCCGCCATCGTCACAAAAAGTTAGAACCCCCCCCCCAAATATAACGTCAAAATCTCTGCACCCCCTCCCCCTTTTAAAAAGTCCCTGTGTCCACTTTACAAACCCTAAAGAAATTCACCTCCCATGGATATCAAATCACTGCACCTGTGCCAGAGACATTTCACTAGATCAGTGGTTCTTTAATAGGGTACATGTACCTCCCCAGCCCTGAGGTGCGGGAGACCAAAAAATTGTATTCAGTGGCGTAGCTAGGGGGGTGCGGACCGCTCCGGCCGACACTATCTCAGGCAGACTCAGGGTGTGAAACCAAATTGAAAGATAGCATAATTACAGAGCACACACTGATCGGTCTAACCGAAATTCGTAAAAGGATAACATGACACGTACATTTTCCACCCATGGAACCAATCAAAATGCGTGTTTATTTCGTTAATATTAAAATTTCAAGGTTGATGCGTCAGCAATTAGGTCAGAAACACACCATTTGACCATGTTTCACAGCCGAATGAAGTTTTCTGCAATTTTTTTAAGCGGAAGGAAGCTATTTTTATCTAAATTCTGATAAATAAAATTATCCTTTGATAACAATGGGCGATTCTAAGAATGTTGCAGTTCTTAAATACATTTACCTCTTGACTTTCAATTAATTTTGTTGTTCTTGTATTTCTTATACTTTGGACTAAGTTTAACAAGAAGAAATACATCGTAAAAAAAAAAGTAGGGGGGGTGTTGACACCACGAGCTTACCGGACCGGGTGATACCAACTCTAGCTACGCCACTGATTATATTTGCTGCAATTGCTAGTTGTTGCTGCTTTTAAAAAAAAAAAATTAACGGATTTTGATTAGCAGCAGTCAATGGTAAATTTTATTGGCCCATTGTGTGTATTGGTAATTTTTTCCCCTGTTTATAAAAAGTTAATTAAAGAAATAAAACTACGATAACTAAATTATTTAAAATTTTATTACAATGTAATTTATACGGTTGGAGGAGGGATTTGTAAAATGGAGTGGGCCTGCAACGCTGCAAAAAAGATTAAGAATCCCTCCTCTTGAGCTTTTACTAAGATACCCCCCACCCCGCGGTCAACCTTTTTTTTCCGCTCCATCCCACTTTTCCTGTCCAGATTTAGCCATAAATTCTCACGACTGTCATTGTAACTACTTTCCGATTCTCCTACTACTGGGCGTCCTGTAACTTGATCAAAGGCCATTCTTCGGCCCTCTCAGTGATAGTAGTTTTAAAATGAAATATTTATAGTTGCTTTGTTTTTTTTAAAATAATGTTAAAAATGTCTGTAATTCAGCGTTATGAAGTGAAATTCTTTACTACAACATTCTGCTTTTCATGTGACGTCACATGGCTTGAGGCCCCCCCTCCCCCTCGTCACACATTGTCACAAAAATCTGGACCGGAACCCCCCCCCCCGACGGGTGACGTCATTTATGGATGACCCCTAACAAATTTCAGACCTGTTGACCTATAGGCTTTTGCTGCAATAACTATGTTTTTAAGCATGAGGCACTATGATGAGCGTAAAAAAAGAACTACGGTTTCGGGAGTTTTTGCATATGGTTGACTTAATTTTAATTTTTTTAAAATTGGTATGTAATATAAAAGCTACCAAATTTTGTGTGTGTTAACACTATAAGCAATCGAATAAGAATAACTGTGACTTTGCGGTCTCGATATCAATAAACCAAGCAGAATAATATCTTTCAGAGAATTGCATTACTACTTAACTGCCAACAAACAAATGTGCAGGACTATATTCTTTATATTTATTTGTGTTAACTTACATTGGCAGTTGAGTGGATTTCCTTACACAATTTGTATTTTGATTGCAAAAAAATGCAGGATCATCAGGAAAGGACAAATATAGGTACAAGCACTTACAGAATGAAGTTAGATATGCTATTAGGAACGCAAGAAAAACTTACCTTGAAAACATATAGAGAATTTCACAAAGTCTACTAATAAAGATCAATACTCGAAGGTCGCGAGAGTCTATCTCTTATGACCTTGGCCGTGAAACATAGCCCAGTAGTCCCTGGGGACTCCGGCCATGCAACTCGGTCTATAGTAAGAGGGGGGTTGGAACAGCTTTACTTCCTCTCCGGAGATGCGTTGCCACCACCACTGCCCGGGAGCTGTACGTTTTCCCTAGTGTGGGACGGCTTTACTTCCACTCCGGAGATTGCATTGCCACCACCACCGCCCGGGAGCTGTCCGTTTTCCTTGGTATGGGACGGCTTCACTTCCACTCCGGGAGTAGTCACGAGCTTAACTTTCTCCCACCGTTCCTAAGAGTCGTACGAGCAAGTTTGGTTCCCAACGATTTGTTTCCCCCCGGGGAGGCGTTACGTTGCCTCAAACCCACGTTTCTCCGGGAGCGTTTCGGACAGGACTGTGAAGGGTTAGAACGGCTTTAGCTTCCTCTCCGGGGGAGGCTTTGCGTTACCTCAACCCACCGCTCTGGGAGCTGTTCGGGCTAGACGTGGCGAGGACGAAACGGTCACCTAGGGGCGGCTTTCTCAGGGCCGCGTCTTTTAAATCACTGGCAATGAATCTCTTCACTGCCTCATACCCATAACCGGCAACACGTAATCATGTTAGCGCTTAACTTCTGTTGCGTTAGAAATCATGCGTTTTGCAGTGTGTGATCTTTGGCTTCCGGGAGCACGCCCGTACTAGTCTTCCGTGCCGCGAAGAGGCAGATCACGTGCGACATTGCCTCGAGCATGGCAATGTGACTTTCCCTCGATTCAGCAAGCTGTCTCGAGGGAAACGTCGAAGCACAAAGTCTACTAAAAAGTTCTTGTCACATGTGAAGAGTCAACGCCAAGAATCAGATGGAGTTGCCGCATTAAAGAAAAAAGACGGTTTTCTTTAGAGTGATGGTAAAAGTAAAGCAGAAATCCTTAATTATTAATTATTAATTTCACTCGATATTTACAGTGGAGGATACCCAGTCAGTCCCTAACAAAGGCGAGAGCAACTACCCAGCCATGAACAACATAGCCATCTCAGAAGCAGGAGTTTTTAACTTTTGAATAAACTGAGTCCTCACAAGGCCACCAGATGAAATCCCAGCAATCCTATTGGAGAATGAAGCAGAGGAACTCGCCCCAATCTTTACAAAACTGAACCAAATGGAGCTTCATTGTGGAAGTGTACCACATGACTGGAAAAAGGCCGTAGTTGTCCCAGTCTTCAAGAAAGGTAACAAACACGAACCTGATATTGACCAGCCTGTTTTTCTGACATCAATTACCTGCAAGATCCTGGAACATATCATCCATAGCACAGTTATGAAACACCTTGAAAGGCAAAAACATCCTCACTGATGTTCATCATGGCTTCTGTAAAAATCGCTCCTGTGAAACTCAATTCTTAGTGACATTGCATGATATGGCACAAAACCTTGCCAATGGCGATCAAGTAGACACAGTCTTACTGGACTTCTCTAAAGTATTCAACGAGGTTCCTCAATGAGATGAAGTTTCAAAGAAATATAAATATAATTTCTTATAAAACTAATTTCAGTGTACACTATCATCCTCATCAAACTGCCGTTTCTTACTGTTCTAAAAGTTATCAATTTTATAACTATGCATTTCATTTCCATCACACAACAGAGCAGATGAGTGGAAGCTTGAGAGCCCAGATTGGACAGGAAGATTACGAGTAGTATCTAAAGGCAAAGAACTTTTAATAAAATTAGAGGACCGAAACAGTGGTATGTTCAAAAGATAAATTTATTCTTTTTTTTAAAAGTTTACAAATTAATTTTCCATTGTATCACAAGATACTGTTTAAATTGTACTGTATTTTAGCAGGTTTTGTGTGTGGTATTTTTATAAATTATATTGGTATTTCACCATACCAGGAGAACTTTTTGCACAATGCCCAGTAGATTCATATCCGGGAATAGCAGTAGAGTCAGTGATGGACTCCAGCAGATATTTTGTAATTCGTATCAAGGATGAGAGTGGTAAGTTTGTTCCACGAAATGAAAATAATTGAATTGTTTCCTACTTATAAAGCTTCTGCTAAATCCTTTTTCTGATTTTTCATAGTTCCTATATGGTCCACACTAAATAAAAAATACCTGTTAAATGACTAGAAAGATAAGTTAAAATTATGAACTTCTAGGATAGGAATCAAGATAGGGATATAAAGCAGTTTTAGAAATGTTACTGTTCAAATTAGAGTGAATATACTTGCTGGTCCTTTTGAAATTAAATAGCTCAGTCCAATGTATGTCTCAAGGAATAGGATGTAAATCTGTCAGTGATCATTGATGAATTAAATATATTGTGTTTTAAATTTTCCTAAGCCTATATTAAATGACTGGAACAACTAACCCACAAATTGATCATCCCATTTTGTATGACTTTTATAGGTAGAAGTGCATTTATTGGCATTGGCTTCCATGATAGGGCAGATTCTTTTGACCTGAATGTGTCAATTCAGGATCACTTTAAGTAAGTTGTTCAATGCGTTCTTTTTAAAATTTGCTATCAGGCGGATTAATAATTGGGCTTATTTGAGACGCTTTACTAACTTACGCTACATATAACATCTTTTACAAGCTTTCTAGAAGTTTTTATTAAAAGGCTAGGTTCTTTAATGTTATTTTTGTTTAGCATAATAGACTAATGTTAAACAATTTTAGCAACACTGCAGTAAAAAATAAATAGCCATATGGTTTAAATGTATGCATTTATTAATGATATACACATTTAGCTGTTATGTCAGTTTTAGGTTTAGGACTGCACTATCCTCTTGATTTGCATTGGGTTTACATTCTGATAAAACACAGTGCAGTTCAAAATCAGGCTGTGTTAACCTCAGTTTGCATATAATAGTGTCCCATCAATATAGAATGCTCATTTATTAAAGTAAGCTCTATTTAAATTTAAAGCTCAAAATTTTTACAGCCCTTTCCTGATTACGATTCTTGACTACCTAACAGTACTATCTAGGAATGGCGCTATAATAAAACATGTAAATTGAGTGGGCATCACATGATACATTGGATTAAAAATTGCTCATGTTGCTACCTTACTTTCAAATCTGTGATTATATTTACCCCATCAAATGTGTTAAGTCCTTCATAATTCTCTGTTGTAGGTGGCTGAAACAAGAGGCAGAAGAAGAGAAGAATGCAAGCACTGTAGAGACTGGTCCAAAGCTTGATCTTGGCTTTAAAGAAGGGCAAACAATCAAGCTAAATTTAGGTGTAAGTAGTAATGACGGATTCTAGGTCTTTCAAGCTCAAGAGTGTTTATATTCTTTCCAAACTCAACATGCATGAAATAAAATTAGATCTATGGGTAAGCCCCAAATAGTGGTTTTTAAACTAGGCCAAATGTAGATATTCATCCACATAACAAACAGCAAGGAAACTTTTGGCACAAAATATTGTGTTGAAATGGTCTAAAAATGGGTATTTCTAACTCTGATATTAATTGGTCTAATGGAAATAATATCGATTCATTTTTTTACTTAAATGACGGTTTATGGCATTAATGCCGCTGACATTCAATTTCTTTCATTTTAATAAAATAAGATTCCAGATTTAGATTATTGTTTTTTTTTGCTTTTTGATAGTTTTTTTTTAAAAAGTGTAGTGCTTTTTCACCAGACAAAGAAAGGAGATGGTTCAAAACTGCGTAAGCCTGTTGCTGGGGCATCTGGGTTTGGACTTCTTCCTCCTCCTCCTGGGGGTTCCAAGTTACCACCACCAGTTTCAGGACTAGCTGTGACGATTCCACAACAACCTGTCACATTCCATTCAGTAAGTGGGTCAGAATCAAAACACATTCATTGAGCTAAAAGGTACAATGATTTATTTCTGAGGTGTTATTACAGCAATCATTTTAACAGAATGTCTTCCTCTAAAATATAATTTTAAAATGTTATAAAACTTTCAAATATCTTAACTACGGGCAGAAAATAAAAAGCTTACATTGTTTGAGTCTCATGCTCTTTGTACCAGTTGCTCGTATTTGCAGTGACAGTCCAACCCCTCAATTTTTGTATTCATGCATTGAATTGTTCCATTACGAATGAATATAGACCAAAAACATTGAATTGTAATATAATGTAAATATGCAGTTGAATTTCTATAATGAAACAAAAATAGTTGTTACTTGAATGAAAGGTAAAAACATTAATAATCAAAAAACATTACAAGCTAAGCAGGCGACCAACCCATCCGATTTTGTTGGAGTTATGCAGATTTTTTTACCACTTATTCCAACCTTCCAACAAACCCCTTAAATTCTGATTTTCCGAAAATTGTAATTTTTCACCTGTCATAAAAATCCAAGTGTCCAAAAAAAATAAATCTGGTATGACAGGAGGTAGTGCATTTTTATGATGCCACTTCCTTTGTTTTTACGAAGTGTCTACATGTCCAGCGACTGGACGAATGTGCTCTCAGCCTTGTCACGTGACCGCTAATAGTCTATCAGAGTTTACAGCACTTCATCTCAACAAATTCAAGATATTCTGGACATTTACAGGAAAAAGAAATAGGTTTAATTCTGCAAAAGAAATACTAGAACCATTGCTGGTATATATAATGAATAAATGGTTAAAAAGTGACTATGTTAAATAAAGCGTGACATATCGCCGGATGAATATCTCCCACACTATTTGTCAAGTCGCCGGACGTGTAGACACTGCCTTGTTTTTATCAAAGGGAACCGCGATCTCCGAATCATTCATTAATGATTAATTGATTTGATTGTGATTCATCCTTTTACTAGGCTAAAAAATAATTCAGTCGTGTTGTGCCTTTTTTTTTTTTTTAACGCTCTCTTAACTCTTTTCATTCCTCTTTTATAGAGAGCGTACAACTATATACGTTGGTTATTTTCGCTAATAAAATATTGTCTTTTTTATTTTTTAATTGTTCTATACCGATTTATCATACATTTGGACATTAATGATTAATTGATTTGATTGTGATTCATCCTTTTACTAGGCTAAAAAATAATTCAGTCGTGTTGTGCCTTTTTTTTTTTTTTAACGCTCTCTTAACTCTTTTCATTCCTCTTATATAGAGAGCGTACAACTATATACGTTGGTTATTTTCGCTAATAAAATATTGTCTTTTTTATTTTTTAAGTGTTCTATACCTATTTATCATACATTTGGAAGAAAAATATATAAAAAAATAATATTTTAAGTTTTTAAATAAAAATTGATGTTTTTTTGCGAGTTCGAGGTTCACGTGATATGCCGAAGCGCTACTCGCCATTTTGGGAAAATTTGTGCAAGACGCTAGTTGACTCGGCAGCCCAAAATTTGAAATAATGAATACTGCTGACGAAAATAATGATCAAATTTTATCTGAAACATCTGGGAAAGATAGTTGGGAACCTGAATCTAGTGACTTTGATTCAGATTTTGATGAGAGTCTGCCTTTATAGCCCATTATAGTCACTAAAACTAGAAGGTTAGTAATCGAGTGTTTCGTCATTCTATATTTTTTATAGATTTTTAACTTTTATTTTTATTTTATCGTTTTCAATTGTATTTATAATCATAATTGAAGTATTTACTACCCATTTTAAAATGAAGCTACGCAAATAAAATCATTGTATAATTTGTGAATATTTTATGACATAAATAATTTTAGAAGACATTATGCTTAGAAACTGTTGCTAAGGAATGTAAACAATGCAGTTGGCACTGATTATTATGATATATTTCATCCTAGAGACCATGAAATTTGACATCCATGTGTGTTATAAAAAATTAATTATCTGACACTCATTTGTTTTTTGGTCATAGCGGTTTTTAGACAGTATTTAAAGTATTAAAAACTTGAAATTTAAGTAAGTATAAATTTTATATTCATTGCATCCCTAATAGTTGCATCATATAGGTCTATAATATTAGTTCTTCTTTTTCGTTCACAGGCTAGGCTTGCATGAGGTTCGAGATGATGACCCACTGGTTCCCACTCCTAAGTTTCGTCCAGCCAGAAAGCCAGGCTGACATGTGTGGGAAGAAATGTCATCATAACATGGCTACAATCTGCACCCTAAAGTCTAAGGATTTTCAAGATATGTTTCACACTGAATTTGGTTAAAACATTTGTCAAATACACCTATTCAACTACAATGGGACCTTCTAAACCTTCCATCAACTGTGGTTTGTTGATATCTCAACAACAAACCACTTTTACACATTTCTAGGACTACTAATGTGGATGTCAACTGTACAAGTCCTCAGTGTACAAAAATACTCGTCAACCGCAACAATGTTGCATTACTACCATGAATTGTGGTCTCATGGCCTATTGCAATAAACAGATTTATTCAAATAAGACATTCTTCAAAGTTTATAATATTGAAACAGACAATGAGGACAAAAGTGCAAAGTGAACTTGTCAGACTTTATCAGAAGTAAATAAAGATAAAAACCAAAGCAATGTGATATGATGTGATGGATAAGAGATAATATAATTTATACCATGTTCAGTGGAGAGAAAAGCCTCACTTATTTCAAATAGTATGACAGCAAATGGATTTTCTTTTGTGAACAACACCAAAACTGATTTGTGTCTTTCTAGGCAATTATTGGGGAGAAAACCAAATATTGTCTCATCAGATTTTGAAATCATACAATTCATTCCTGTGACCTGTGTGGTGTTGACCAGTTGATAAATGAATATATCATTCTAAGTAAAGAAAACAGCACTGGTCCAATCCCTTTTTCCATTTTGTTGAGAATGCCAGCTATAATCTGTTCAGGATTGTTCAAAAGAAATCTATGATATAGATGAACTGAAGCCACCTGACATTTTATTCTCAATTGACTTCACCGAGGAAATTATTTTAGCATTTGATAATTTACTAAAAGTGATGCAGTTCCAAATGCTGCAAATGTAAATAACACCAATTACAATCTAAATGCAATAATTCCTGATTGTATAGATTTTAAAAGCAATTGTCGGAGTGCTAGTGCTATAAATTAGGAATGCTAAGACAATAAAATTATAAATCAAATATAGCGCATGGTAAATTTTATCTTTGTTAAAAAAAAAGAAACTTTCTAACGAACAGTACCATGAAGTTTAAAATCTCTATTATATTTTAAAATCTTGAAGTAATTTTTAAAAGGTAAAATAATAATAACCTGTAATTTTTGTGAATACTTGGTTGGGGGGGGGGTGATTTTTATTTTTTAAAAATTATTTCCCCTTTTTGACACATTTTAACAAAAAAATTATATTTTGGTCAAATTCTCATGAAATGTTCTAAATCATGCATATAATATAAGAAAATGAATTTGCTTTCTAAATAAACAGATTTTATTAAATAATTTCATGTGGTTTGTTTTTTCCTTTGGTGTAATCACCAATTTTTTTTTAACACATTTTCATTAAAAAAACAATTGCATTTTTTTTTTCACAACTTCTAAGTATTGACACTATGTGTTTGAAAACAAATATTTTTAGAAACCCCCACAATAATATATATAACATCATGAATTTTAGACAAGGATTTTAAAAGTTATTGACTCTTTTTTAAGGTCACTAGAAATCTTATGAAAAACATGCAAAATTCAAGGAATGTAAAGAGTTGATTAAATGGATAAATCTATTGAAAGTGGTGGATAAATGATATTAACATGTTTTAACACACAAAAAACATACAACTGCAGTTAAGCAGGTGAATCTACAACATCCATGTCTAATTTCTTTGCTAAGGAATTGGACGATTCAGTTATCAGATCAGAAGTTTTATTTACCGCATATCTTATTGAAGGAAATAAGTCTCTCAATCGTTTTACTGCCAGAGTCAAAGAAATTTTTCCAGACTCGCAGATTGCTAGAAGATTGGGAAGAAAAATGACAATGAAACAAGCGCAAGCCTGAAAGTTGATACTGATACTCTTTCTAACTTCATTTATAACTAAAATTAATTGCAGTGCTAACCTTCATTGTCCAAAGAGCTGTTGGACAAGTGCAAAAAGGCCACTAGGGAGATGCTTGAAAACTCTTAGCAGCCTGTATACATATGTAAATAAAAATGGATAGTCTGTTCTTTATATAAACATTTCCAGTCATGTTATTCTCATTTTCTGTGGACTCCTCAAAGACAATGGAGGTATCTTTATATTTCTTTATTTACTAAAAAAAAAAGGCTTGTGGCACTCGTGCGTTAGTATGTAGATCTTAAACCACCACCCCCCTACAGATTAGTTTTCATGGCAGGTCTGAAGTAGAGATGCATGATGTTTCAATCTGATCTTCCTCTTCTCATTTTCATGAGTGTAGGATTTAGTTAAAACAGAATAATTCCTGAAAGGAACAACAACTCCACTTCTCATTTGATTTATTGATTCTGATTTATCATACATGCATTTAATTTTTTTTATTATAATTTTTTTTTTTCATATTTGAGGGCCCACTGTAAATTTATTGATCATTTTGGCTCCTGGTTTGGATTCAGACTTTGCCTTCTCTTAGATGAGTTGCCGTCCTAAGCTAACGAGTCCCATCCACCTACATGCAAAGGAGCCAAAATGATCAATAAATTGATCATGTGCCCTTAATATATAGAAGAAGAAGAATATAATAATCACTATTTGGATTCCAATCAGACTTTTTACTATATCAATGTATTGGGTTTGACAGAAGTTTTTTTATGTGTTTTAGTCCCCAGCACAGCCCCAAGCTATTGACCTATTACTAGACATTGGATCCTCAGAACTTGTACCAAATGCTCAGAAGCCTCCAGTTACCCAGAATCCACCTGACTTATGGGGAGATTTTACTAGTGCAAGCGGGTGAGCTTTATATCGTCTACAGCCCAATTTCTAGACCTGCATCACAGCTTGTTAAAATTTTAGTACAGTTCATCAAATAAATAACTTGTAGTCATTAGATTTAGAAAGTCAGCAAATATTTTTTGTTAAAATCTATCCACATGAAAAATTATTAATTTTCTTGTTTCTAATATCATACCGGTATGGACGCCGTTTGGATAAAAAGGTTAAAATCGGTCTTTAGCACTTGTCGTCTTGGGGATAGAAAGTGTTAACACTATCACCTACCCATGTCCTTCCATGCCTCCTTTGTAATCTCTATTGAATCTGAATATTAAAATTATGTTACTTAAAGTTAGTCAATATTAAGACACTGAGATTTCAAGAACTTATATATGTGCTTTAGGTAAGGATGCACAGATGAATGATTATTTGCAGTTTTTTGCCATCCAGTGTTGGGCAGAATTATATTTACGGTGACAAGAGACATTCTGTTCCCATGACTAAATCGTTAAGCCAATAGGTCGCTAATTGAATAGCTTATTTTTTACAAAATAAAGAAAATGGGGGGGGGGGGTTCTCTGCATATGTTCAAGCTGTTGTTAAATAACAAGTTGAAGCTGAACGATGACAAAACAGAAGCACTCCTCATTCTCAATCATGAATTATCCTCTAACTCAGCTCTTCCCCATCTCATTTCAAGTAGGTAGCTCCGATATAGAGTTCACATCCTCTGCTAGGAATTTTGGTTACACTCTTTCTGACAACATGTCTCTCAATAATCATATTTCTCACATCTGTCGCTCTGCGTACACTGCTATCAATTTTTTTCTGGTTCCTGCCCTTCCTGTCTTACTGAAATTCTTTCTGTCTATTCACCCCTTCGAAAGCTTAGTTTCTCTGTAGACGTGTATTCTTTGTGTTCCCGGACCACGCACTAAAACTTGAAAGATCTTTCTGTGCCCCAAAACAATGGAATTCTCTACCATTACACATCTGCAATATACCGACCATCCCAGCCTTCAAAACTGCCCTCAAGGCCCATCTCTTCAAACTGTACCACACCCACTCATTCTCAACCCCCCTCTAACTGATAAACAGCGCTCAATGCTGCTGGGTGCTGTCCATGGCTAGACATGGGTAGAGAGTACTTGGGTGGGTGAGGTCAAACTTTTTACCAATTGTTGCTTTTAAATGTATAATTTTCTGTAATTGCTCATTTTTGTGTGAAGCGCAATGAGCCTAGGCCTAGGATTGGGTACTGCGCTATATAAAACCACCTTAATTATAATAATAATAGTTTAGTGAGAAGTTCCTGTAGTTGTAAACTTGTGCACAAATAATCTTGAAACCAATACACTTTTCTACCAAGTCATATGGCAACATTGATTGTGGTTTTCTTATGCTTTTTCTTTCCAGGTCCCAAACAGCATCTTCCAACAACAGTGGGGGAGACTGGGTGCAGTTTTGATGCAGGCCCAAAGTGTGTGTGTGTGTGTGTATGGTGTGTGTGTGAACTTCCTTATTCCTGCAACTATCTGAAACTCTACAAGTTTCTACTTGTCAGTCATATGTCTACTATAGTCTTAATGTTACTTTAATATTTAGGTAGTCAGATACCATTTTTGATGTGTTAAGTGTTTCTCCAGGGTGAGTCTTGATGAATGGAAGGGGATAAAGTTTGTTTCTTGCATGGCATTGACTCTGGGTTTAAGAGATAAAAGTTGCGTGAGTGAAACATGTTTATAAATATTAGTGAAACTTTTAAAGTAAGATGGCATAAATGCCGGCATCTGCTTATTTCAGTCTATATGATTATCGGCCATGCTATTTTGTCACAAACAGGGTTAACTTCCAGGCGATAAAGATGCACAATATTTTTAATTAGCTAAAAGCATTGTTGTCCTTGTACAGGCAATGGGGGGAAATACATCAGTCCAGCAGCTATTTATTTCTCTTCATTAACTTTTCAATGATATTTAACATTTCAATAACATCAGTTCATTCCAAATCTGGAACTTGCAAGTTTCTTCATGCTTCAACATCAGCACTAATAGTGAACAAGATAACTTCAAGGGGCTTACTAAAAGGAAAAAAGTTAATTTCAGTTATGAACAATATGAAAATGAAAGCGAGATATGGCAATCAAATGTACACAAACTGAGGAGAAAGAAATGTGCCAACATTTTTCTATAAGTATAAGCCTCAAACAATAATTTGTGATTCTAGTTGTAGTGCTTAACAAGCTGGATCTAAGCAAATAAATAATGGAAAAGTTATGTCCAGTTATGTAGGCTATCAAAGTTGATTAAGAAATATGATTGTTTTTTCTTCCCAATATGTACTGTTTGTGTAACTTTTTATTGACACTATTTGTTTAAATGTTGGTGGTTGTGTTGTGAGATTTACTCTCTCGGACATTGGTACAACAGCTGTTTTCAAATGTTATTTCATTGTTTTATTGCTTGTGTAAGGGTCGATTTTTTTGAAAGCCAAGAAAAGCCAATAGCATTTGCTTAATTTATGAACTCGGCTTCATTTTTTGTTGTCGTTTTTTTCATGTGGGATGTTAGATATCAGTAGACTGATGACAGTTCTGTTTGCTTTTGACTATTTTGAGAATTCTCAGCATTCCATGTATCACACATTGTCTTATCTGTCTCAGATGAAATCCCTTTTATCATGTTATTGGTGTGTAAAATTAAGGTAATTTGATGCCAAGAAATGGCCAAAGCTGTTGGACACACTAGTTTATAACTATCAAGCAAATGTTAGTTGTTAGTTTTCTTGTTTGCTAATGTTTTACTGTGAGTTATCAAAGCAACATTAGCTATTTGCATTTTATCTTCTTTTTTTTTATACGGTATATGAAACTTTAATAAATGTGCAAGTGATCAATTTTAGTATGGGGAAAAAAACTTAGGTACGTTAAACATACATTAGCTGCCGTGGTTATATACCAGGTTAAACTGACCAGCAGTGTTCATATTTGTAAGAAATTTCCAGAATATGATGGCTGTTCCTACAATAGGAAATATGTTTGAAATGAAGAATTTTTGCCTTGAAGCAGCTTTATAACGAGGACATAATTTTGGTTCCTGTTGTGCCATGAGCTGTAGATGGAATTGCAGCAACAGTGATGTGTTTTTTTGTGTGATATCTTTGTAAGTTATCTTAAATGTTCCACCAGATCTAATTTCTGGTGTGGTTATTGATAGTAGTATTATCTGGTTGTATTTATCTTTCTGTGTGTCATGAAGGGTTTTGATGTGGCTTGTTGAAATCCTGTTCTTTTCCAGTGACACATAGTGAGGTGGTTGTCCCCAGTTTAATAACTTGAGAATGACTTTAATTACTTTATAACTTCTAGCAACTTTTAAACATCAAGTCAAGTTATTATGAACTCAAAGGAAATGTTATAATTGAGATTTTTGTTGTATATTAGTCAGTATTTTAGTAAGTGAATAAATTCATTTCTACATAAAACTGTCTGAATTTTTAAAAAACTTATTCAGCCAATGCAGATAATGATTAGTCTATTTAGGATTTTTTTAGTCATCAAAATATTGTTTCTCAATTTAACCATCTAAATATGCATATAAGTAAGAAAAATATTACATTGTGGGGCTAATAATAATAATGAGTTAAATACAATTTTATCATGTGATTGTAGTTAAAACTTGATGGAACGCTGTAAAATAAGATTATGTGTGTATAAAGAGGTTATTGTTACTTCTCTTCCTTAGTATAACTGAGCTTAAGTGTGTATTAATTTATCATTTTGCTGAACATAATAACTTCTTTATGTACAATGTAGACTATAAAAATGCAGCAGTATAAGTTGTTATTATTTCATAATTGTAATAAGTTGACTTTCAGAATCTGAAAGGTATAAATAAAATGTTAATTTGATCAACTGCAATTAATTTGTTTTATTAAATTATTGTTCTCACTGTGATTTCTGGATGAAATGGGTACCTCATTTTCCTCTCTATTTTAATTTTATAACAGACCACATTCATTTAATGAAACTATTCTATAAAAAGAACAAATGCTATAAAATGATGCATTGCAAAATAATTTTTAATCTTTCAACAAATTGATTTAACTTTTAAAGTCGATATCAAAATGTTGGACAAACTTTGAGAGAATAGGCATCTTATTGCTATTAAAATATTACCAGACAGTTTTTTTTAATACCAAAATTATTCCTTGCCGCATAATAAATTACCTTTTGGAAACTTCCTTTAAATGTAGAGATGAGATAAACTCAAAGTCTAGAATAGTACATATGCAATGTTTTTATTATTCACATTTCATTCTTTCTTTATTAGATATAGCGATATACTTTAAAAATATGGAAGCTTTTAATTTCAGTTTGTTTTCTGGTTTGCCACCATAGTCTATGTGCTCAGTTTCTATGAAAGTACTCTTTGAAACAATTTGAAATATAAAAATGGAATACTGAGGGTTTATCTTTTCACATGATAAAAAAACAATCAAAACATAAAACAAATTACTGTTACCAATAATGCAAAGAAATGTGAAAAAAAAACAAGTAACAGGCCCCCATTTCAATTTCCCTCAACCCATACTTGTAGTGTTGTGGATACGAAATGAGATTTTATTTCTAATTTTATTATTTAAAAATGTGGATTTAAGTATTTAACTTGATGAAAATTTTGGTAGATCTTTGTGTCAGTTTTGGATTTCAGTCAATTCACTTCATAATGTACAATTTATTTTGCTGAAGAATAACTCTTTTAAGACATATATTTCTTAGTTTCTAATGAAAATTATTTTTTTAAAATCTCACATAATTGTGCAGCCTTGCCTTTCGTCTGGAGAATTGAGTAATGCTTCCAAATTTTGTATGACAGGCTCTGTGTCTTCAAAGTCAAGGATTGATAACAAATGCACTAGCACTGAAATAGTTGTTTGTAAGTCATGGTCATTTAGGCGCATCCGGAGGTTTTTCCTTTTAATTCGACCACGGCACTGCCATGCCTTCTCACAAAGTGTCCTTGGGATGAATATTTCATTATAGTTTTCTATGAAGCTTAATGTAAAGCGGAAATCTTCATGAAATTCTGCAGACTTGTAATAGAGTCTGTGAGCGCGTGGTATGAAGACTCTGGCCACTTCATACGGATTGGTTGGCCACTGAGAAGAATTAAGACGAGACCAGCATATCTTAAGCTTATATTGGCTGTCACATACAGCAAGGATCTCTTTTCTCCACCTGTTGTTATCATAAAGGAAAAGATTTTGAATTATAATATTTTTATTCAATATGTAAAATTGATTATAAAAAAATAAAGTTGCCAGTGTTTTTTACAATAGCCATTGCCTACTCAAGATTAGATTGGGGGCATTACTAAACATGAAAGTATCCATTGGATCCTTTCTCAACATTATATCATGTACATTTATTATAGAAATAATGAAAAATGTTTTACGCTAATGAAGGGATTAAAAATAATAAATTACCAATATAAAAAATTGCTTTCTTTTGCCATTCTCTCCCCACCTACACTAACTACAGGTATATCAAAAGCACCTTGTTCATAATCCAGCCAGTGCTGCCTCCCAAGAGGCACAACTCTAGGGCAAGACATCCCACATAAGGGTTTATGAGGACATTAGGTTTAGGAGGAACAGTTACTGTGCAATGTGCATCAATTTGAATAGAAAACAACCTAACTGCCTGTTCACGTGTCAAAACTGAGGCTGGAATGAAACACACATTTCTTAAAACCAGTTTTTAAAAAAATTATAAGGTAGTTAAAGGTAGTTAATTACGTAACCTTTCACAGGTGGTGCACCAGAAATTCATTCTTCCGTCATGAAGCTTGCTGCAATTTTGACTACAAGGAACTGATGCACCGATTGTTCTGCGCATCTTTTTATACATCTGTGATATATGGAAGTGAACACACATAGCCAGGTGCTTTGAAGCATCTCTTATTGCCATGTTGGCACATAGCCAATTCCTCATAAGTGGATCACCTACTTCCATATGTATAATTTCTTGACGTGAACTCAGCTGACCCATTCTGCATAGCTTAAATGAATAAACTAGGCTGAAAATATATAAAAATAATTTACATAGGCAATATTTATAAATATATTTATATCATTACAGGTATTTACAATTGGTGTGTTAGTTGGGAGGATAATAAAATTAATCATAAAGCATTCAAATAAACATTAAGATTTTAAAAGACAAGAGGATGTGGATTAGTAAAAGAAATGTTCACTCAGTAGCAGGCACATCTATCTATCATTCTCTATGAGACTAAAGCCCATGGGGTGCTCTGGCCTGCATGAATCAGCTTGTTAATTTAAGTTATTAATAGTTGTTAAATTACTATTTTATTTGTATCTAATTATTAAAATTAGTGAATTGAGTTTACTGAAGCCTGATTAACGTCACCTTATTATTTAACTTCTTATCATTATCATCATTAAATCTGTTTGATTTGCATTGACTTGGTTAGCCTTGGGCTGGGTTCTGAAGGTATATTTTTTGCTATTTTAGTTTTCTTAGCATCTGAACCTGAATCTGATCAGAGTCAGAGTGATCATTTGAACAGTGGTAACATTCACCAATCAATAATAATTATTTATTTTAATTAATTAATTTTGTATAGAACAGTACTGAGATTGGCCTAATAAAAATTAATTTTAAAAAATTATATTCTTACATTTTAAGACTTTCTTTAAGAAAACCTTAAAGCATTTAATTATACATACTTCAAACTTTGACTGTAGTCAACAATATCATATGCTAAGGCTAAACTAAATAGGTCAGAAATGGCCAAATAATGGGTCTAACATAACAAGACCCAGGTCTACTTACTACAAAAAACACACAACAAAGTATATTATTTATTCCGTTAAGTTTTTAGGCATACGCCTACTTTTTAACTACAAGAGAAGGCTATTAAAAACTTATAGCAGATGAATATTATAAATTACAAAACGCAAAAACATACTTGATTCACCAGAAAATACTGAAATAACTGGAAAAAAAATCTGAATAAATCATGAAAAAAGTTTGTGGACTTGGAGGGGCAATGTGTGTGTGTGTGGGGGGGGGGGGGGGTGTTACCAAGTAATGAAATATGGCTACTTTGTAGTTACGTTCTTGACTTTAAAAAATAGTACTTAGTAGGCCTACTCTTATATTTGTATTTGCTCAGTTGTATTAATTATATATACCCATATTTATTAAAGTTATGTCCCTCCCTAAACAATTCTCAAACAGCCTAATTGCCAGAAAAAGTGAGCAAATTAGGAGAGAAAAAAATAAATAGAGTATAGAGGGAAAATTTAAATTATTATTATTAAGGGTTTTTTTATATAGCGCAGTACCCCAGCCTAGGCTATGGATAAGCTCATTGCGCTTCACATAAAAATTAGCAATTATAAAAAAAAAAGTATACATTTAAAAACAACAATTGGTGAAAAGCTTGACCTCCCCTACCCAAGGATTATCTACCCCTGTCTCGCCATGGAAGCACCAAGCAGCATCAATCGTTGTTTATTATTATTATTATTATTATTATTATTATTATTATTATTATTATTAGTGGTCTTGTATAGCGCGGTATCCCAGCCTAGGGCTGGGCTCACCGCGCTGTACATTAAAATATTTGCAAACATAACCATGACATTAAAAAATAACAAACATCCTAATAAAAAAACAGCTATATAACAACAAAAAAAAAACAAAAAAAAACAAATGTATATTCACAACACCCAACCCAGAACTTTTACATGTCAATCCATGGACAGCAACCAGTAGCATCGTTTATCGGCATTTGGGGAGGAATCAGTTGGGATAGTAGAGTTTTGAGGCCTGTATGGTCGGTATATCGCGGATGTGTAATTGGAGAGAATTCCATTGTTTGGGGCACAGAAAGAGAAAGATCGACTACCGTATGTTTTAGTGCGTGCTCTGGTAGCAGAAATAATACGCGTGTCTGCAGAAGAACGAAGCTTTCGAAGGGTGAATAAACAGAAGAATTTCAGTAAGATATCAAGGGCAGGAACCAGAGAAAAAGCTGTGACAGAGAACAGACAGCTTGTAATCAATGCGTGCCTGTATAGGGAGCCAATGAAGTGAGTGAGCCTAATTCTCAGCCGACTGTAGGCCATACTGTGTATAATTTATAATCATAGTACTATCATAAGAGAGTCAATTAAAACACATTATTTATTCAATACAGCCCATAATTCGGCTACATTAATTTTTTTTTTTAATTGCTAGTGGGAGTAATCCATTTATCGACTGGGAATAACGTTGAGAGTTATTCCCAGCAGTCTGTGTGGGCCTATAAGGGTGCGGGGCCTTGGGCAAATTGAATTTTGCGGGGTCGTTGACGTTATATATTCCGCCAATAGGATATTGAGACACGTTATTGTTATAGTCGTACTCGGGCCTTGCTGGTCGTAATGGGACACGTCTTAATATAACGGACATTTGTTCACTCGCTTAGATTCCGAAATTTCTATTTTTTTCTTATAACAGTTAATTGCACTTGCCCACATTACTCATCGCGGCTCAATTAATACCAAAATCAAGGTTGTCAAAAACAAATAACTAAAAAAAAGAAGCTGAAAGAGCCATTGTAATCTGGACACAAGCAAAACACAAGCTAAAACAAACGCGATTTAAAAACACATCTATTTCGCAAACACCTTCTGGGGTGATGCTATCTACCATCTTTTTTCAGTTAATGCATATTGGCTTGTGTTGCTTATGGTTGAAATGGGATGAAAGACTTTGACTTGGTATGCTCGTATGTAGTTTTATATTGTTGCGTCTGTTTTTTAAATGTGGTAAGTTTTAGATTGTTTTTTATTTCTCTTTTTAATATGGTTGACTTTGTACCGCGCTTCGAGCTTTTGGGGATGAAGCGTGTTTTTCAAATAAACTTTATTATTATTATTATTATTATATATATATATATATAGTCTAATCTACGCATTCTAGTGGCATAATCTAAAAACAGAAATTCACTATTGAAAAAAAAGGCAATTCACGCACTTTAGAGCATCGTCTGCAACTTATTCGCGTAGCATCGCCTCGTTTCTAATAGAAACCACCTTTTCCGAAGGCAAGGTCTTTTGCATGGATTCGTACAGTGTTTACATTTAAAATATAAATGAGTTAACAAATCCATAGTTAAATAAATATATAACTTTGTTTAGTTTAAGCAAAACGATGAATGTAATTATTGTGTGCGGTCTGTAAGCCGCGACAATGTTGCGCACTAGAAACAAACGTCTAATTATAATAGGCTAAATAGGTCAAGACTGCGTATAGTGGCGTAGGACCATAGTATTATTATAGCAAGGTACAACAACAAATTTTACAAGTGAGTAACTAATTTCGATTTTTGACTGTGAATCAGTAATTCAGTAGTTGCCCTAATTAAATTTGGTTGCATTGGACATTGGAATTGGGAGATTTCTGTTCATGACATAATGACACATAGACTCTAACTCTAATCATTGGAATTAAAATAAAGATAGTACTAGTATTAGTACACATGCATTCTCAGACCCCTCTGCTTCTGCCTTTAATTATGACACTTTAAAATTAAACAATCAGATGTCATAAATTAATAATTTAATTCATTATTATTTCTAATCTATGTGAAAAAAAGAAGATATCTTGTATCTTATCTCAATAATTAATCTTATTTTATTTTAAGGAAGATCTAATTTAATGTCAAAAATTTTTATTGGTATTGCAATATTTAAAAAAAATTTCTTCAATAAAAAGATTATAATAATTTAATATTTTTTGCATTGCAGTGGAATAGCTTTTTAAATGGAGCAAAGCTATTCTAGAAAATGGGGTACCATTTACCAAAAATTAAGATACAAGATGTCATTGTTGTGCTTACAGATATTGTTAATGCTATTTTTCAATCACCATGAAACATCGGGTAAGCTTTTTACAACCTTTAGTGGTCTGAAAAGTTTTTTCAAACAAGCATAAAGTTAGGCTCAGGCTGGGGATCATGATTAAAGCTGCCTTATGATGGATTAGAGGTGGAGACGGCTTTAATGGATTTTAGGTGAAGATAGGCTGGATACCACACAATAACAAATGGGAGGGCCGCACAAGTTTGATTGTTCAAGCCAGTCATATGGATAGGGACAACCCCTAATGCCTGCTAAAAATGACCATTTGTTCCCTAGAGTGGAAAGAGGGAAAGAGTGGAAAAAACCAACTCAAGAGCCATTATAATTATATAATTGTATGACCCATCTGTTCTAATTTAAAATATTTTCATTTTGCAAGCTAATTTGCTTAATTTTGTAAAGATTCAATATAAAAAAATTAATTTGTTTAAAATAGTAGCAGCAGATGATGTTTAGACATTTTAAAATTAAGATTATCCATTTAAAATGTCAAGTTTAGGGAATTGCAAATTTTTATTGATTTTTTAAAAAGTGTACAACCCATATCATGTTATTTCAATTTTTAAAATGACAGATTTAAAATTAATTACTAAGACAATAATAAACAAGTGCACATATTTAAAATTTGTGTTTATCTCTGAGATTCATTTTGCAGCTTTAGCTAATAGTTTTGGGAAATACTTTGTGGTAGCAGTTCCTAGGCTGCGTCAACAAAGAAGTACAGATATCCCTTCCATCCATTTCTATCTTTCAACAGTGTTCTCTGCAAAAGATGTAGAGGTAAGTTTTTTTTTTTTTTTTTTTTTTTTTTTTTTTTTTTTTTTTTTTTTTTTTTTTTTTTTTTGTTTTGTTTAATAAAGAGAAGAGAAATATCACCAAAAAATAGCTTATGATGAACTTTTTTGTCTTAACAAAAAATGTAATTTAAATATATTAACTTTTAAACATTTTTAAAAACAATGACTTGTACTTGTAGACTTATCCCATCCTTAACATATGCTGACATTCTCACTATCAAAGCCAGTGTTTTATTGGTAATGGGACCATCCATAATTGATGCAACGCATCTAGGTGGGAGGGGGGGTCACAAATAAGTGACATTGCCTAGCTTTGTGTGACAATTTGTGACAAAGATTGGGAGGGGGTAAAAAATTTGATCAAAATAGTGTGAAATCTGTTATTGATGGTTCCATACACTCATATGTGTTTTCTTGTAGGTTTTTATCACTACACCACACTATGGGGATTCCACTCTTAAACACTTCCTGGTGATTCCTAAAGATGGTTTTCGTGAATATTCTCTAGACAGAAAGTACTTGTAAGTATTAATGAAATATTTTTAAAATTATAGTTAGAATGTTACTGAAAATTGTATAGCTTGTTAAATATTTGTTAAAAATGCATTAAAATTTTTTAAAACTCATCCTATTCAAATTGGAAGCTCATTTCAACTAATTTCAAAATATTCCGAGTACAATGTATCCACACTTTGATTTCAAAGTCTATCATTAATAACTTCATGATAACTTCATTTTTTTTTTTTTTTTTTGACTTTTTACCTCTTTTCTAGCCTTTGGGATTGAAGTTTTTTTTTTAAATAAACTTTTTTATTATTATTATTATAATATCAAAGTCTATCATTAATAACTTCATGATAACTTCATTTTTTTTTTTTTTTTTTGACTTTGTACCGCGTTTCGAGCCTTTGGGAATGAAGCTTGTTTTTTAAATAAACTTTATTATTATTATTATTATAATCAGAGGCAGAGTGGAGAAATATTTAAAAATGATGTAAAATGAGATCTTGCCAACAGTTTTTCAATTGATTTAAAAATGTCATTAAAGTTATTTATGATTCACCTATCTAAAATATGTTAAATATAGGTAGATTGATTAAAAGTCAGGCCTATGTTGGCATTGAAATCTTTGTTTGCATATTTGGTAATTAAACGAAAGAAATTTTTAATACAGGTGAAGGATCTAAAAAATATTGGGCATAATGTTCAATTCTCTTGTTATTCCAGTTCAAATCAGGAAATTGGTAAAAAATGGACTTACTTACTTGCTGGCAAAGAATATTTTGGGCTGTATGTCATGTTAATTGAAAATGAAAAGTCAGTGGCTACATTCCAAGCCCTACCAATTGAAGAATGGGGAACCAAGTATTATGCTTTTACGTTAAGGTAAAGTTACATATCAGCTTTATATTTTTCTTGTTTTAGCCCATTAATAATAATTGACTCATTTCATTCACTGTTTTAGATTTCGTGTTATACCCCATTGTTATGTAGCACAATTTCCTGTGCGTGAACTTTCCTCGACCTCACAGGACACTCCTAGCAGACACTAACGTCTGTTGTGGGCGTGGCTAAATGTCTTTGAAGTATCTTGTTTACAATCGACTTCCAATTACGCATTGGGTAGAATGTCTCTGGGTATCTTCTGGAATGTACTCCTTAACCCGAGATATGTAAACAACACGTCATAAGCCCTTCTGGAAGCGTCTTACTCTACATGTATATAAAGGATTGACAGATACGAAGAGAGGGAGATTTCAGATAGATTTTCTTAACATTACGAGGCGTGTTTTATTCTTTGTGTATTTGTGTGCTCATATGTGTTTATTTCGCATTATTTATTGGCACATTATTCTAACTGTGTTAACTGTGTACCGGTACAAGATCTACCATACTGTAAGTTGAAGATTGTAATTATATTTTCTTTTCTTTTGTAATTATCTTAAGAATTAATAAATCTTATTAATTGTAACTAGAAGCTGTTTTGGGTCGTATCTTTAATATTGTTGATTCTATGGTATCGTCCTTTGTTAGGCACTGTTTACAACGAGCCAATTAAAGTTAAAATAGGAGATTAATTTCTCCCAATATAAGTCAGTGCGTAACACCCATCAATGTTTGATTGACTTATTGCTGCAATTTAATGATTTCCACACAGCAGTAAATGAGTATCAAATATCATTATGTTACAAATAAATGCTTTCAGTGAAAACATTTCTACAATGCTCAGTCAGGGCACTAACATTAATTAGGGCATTTTTTTCAAATTGATTACAAATCTATTTTTAAACAATTTACAATTTTTGTACTATTTATTTAGAAAATGGATTCGATGAGTGAATAAATGTGAAACTTTTTATAGATATAAAAAAACACCTGGTTTATAACATAAAATTTGAAACAATGTATGTAATTTGAATTTCAGATTCAATCCTTCAATTCAGATAATTTCTAGTGAAAATGATAATTTTGTGTCAGTTTCATTGAAAGTTGCTAATCCTGAACGCTTTAGCCTCATCTACAAGGGTCATGATTACAGCAATGCAGAAAAGGATTTTGAATTTAACTTAAAAAGGTTTGCTAAATTTGTATGTCTTCTAATTCTAATCTCCCATACAAGGTTCAAGTAGATTTTTCCTCTTTATTTAAATTCTAGCTTTGAGTAGATGAATCACTTAATGCAAATAAGTTTCATAGAATTGCCTTATCAAACAGGAGATAAAAATATTTTTTTCCTAAGCATCAACTATAAGAAAAAATGGGGATTATCATTTTATGTTGGGGATGATTGCTTAAATTGAAAACATTTAGAAATAATGATAAATAGTTTAGAAAATCATTATTCTCTACTTTGATTACAAAAATGTGGCTCACTTTTTCATAAGAAACTTTTAACACAACTAAATTAAACTTAAAAAGCTAATACAGGTGTAAAATTTGACTATCAATTAAAGTGCAATTTAAAATAGCACTGCTCATTATGTCTTTAATTTTCAAGAAACATGTACCACTATGTTATGAATGGACTAATGAAGTAAGCTTTCAAATTATGTTACCCCTGTAAGTAAATCTATCCAGCAATAATTAAGAGGAGGTATAACCACCATCTTACTTACTTTCTCATGAAATAAACTACTTTTTATTTCAGATGGGAAGCTTTCACAATCTCAAATTGTAATGATGCTCAGGCATACATGACAGGTAAAAAATATTTTTGAAATATTAAAATACCTAAAAACCAAGACAAACATTCTTTTCAAAAAGTAGTATATATTTGAAAACAAAATGCATAGTCTAACTAAATAATTACTATAATACTATAAATTAAAGAAAGTGTGTTCTAGGGTATGCAAGGTCTTACGAAAGCCAAAATGTACTATCAATATTCTTAAAATAGTACATTTTTAATCACTGCATATGAGAAAAGCATCATCCATCCATCCATCCCTGTGGCGCTACAGCCCATGTAGGGCTTTGGCCCGCCTCGCTACTTCCTTCCACTGAGACCTAACTGATGCTTTACTTTTCCATGCTTGGATTCCCAGCTGCTGTAGATCTTTTTCCATCATCCATCCATTTAAGCCTTATGTCTGCCTTTGAGCCGTTTTCCTCTGGGGTTTTGGTGATGTACTCTCTTCACTCCTCTGTCATTTGGCATTCTCTCTAAGTGTCCTGCCCAGCGTAGCCTGCCCTTTTTTTTATTTCTGCTACTAGCGGATCCTGATATAGCCTGTACAATTCCTGGTTGGTTCATATTCTCCATCCATATTCATCCTTTGTTGGTCCATATATTTCCTGGAGAACTTTTCTCTCCCATTTGTTTAATAGGTTTCTGCTGTTAAATTTAGGGCCTACTTTTTATTACATTACTTATGCTGTGGTTTGGCATCCAGAGTACATTGACTTTCTCTCTGTTAACTAGGATTTAACACTACAAGTTGTTTGAAAAATCTGATTTTTACTATTTAAAAAAAAAATTAACCTGCGTTATAAACAACTTTTCTTAAGTACTCTTTCAGTTTAATTAATGGAATTATGTTGCAACTTATTATGAATCAGTTGTTTTTTATTTTTTGAATTGTTGAAGTAAAAAAAACTACTTAATATCTACTGGGGTAAAAAGGGGAGAGACTGCAATCAGGTTAGTACAAAATAAAATGAGTAAAACAGAGTAGGGTTAAACCTGAAAAAATAAAATTTCTTATTTTTATTTTTATACCGTTTTTTCTGTTGTTTTGTTCGCTGACGAAGGCTTTCTGCCGACACATTCGCTGTTTTGTTGCGTTTATTTTTTCAGGTTTAACCCTACTCTGTTTTACTCCTTTTATTTAATATCTACTGTAATTTAAATTGCATATTATTACCTTTTATTTCACTGGATTATATACTATCTTTAAAATACTGTAATGTGTTTTAATATCTTCTTTAAAAACAAAATGCTTTATCAATAAATCACTATATGTTAGATAAATTAAAAGTTAAGAATGTAGTTGCGTGCAAATTTTGTTTTGTTGAATTATTTTTTTTTTAAAAATGATGACAATTTTACTTCTTCAGGTTCGACTATTACTGGATTAAAGACCATTGGTGTAATTAGTGGCAACTGTCCAGGAAGAACCTATAGCAGGTTTTGTAATTTACCAAGCAGTCATACACTGGGCGAGAGTGCTACAGATATTGTTGCTGGTCAGTTTTCTTATGGCTTTTTAGTTAGTGGATTTGTTGAAGTAGTAAATGAAAATTTGTGCGAAGTAAATACAGCAGACAATTTTGTTTTAGTTTTTTTTTAAATTTACTTTAAGGGCCATCCATAAATGAGATACCCATCTAAGTGTGGAGGGGTCAAGAGTTTGTGGACCATGTGTGATGAGGGTTTCTTACCTTTTGACTTGTGACATGACCAGGAAGTGGGGGGGGGGGTCTGCCACAATAGCGTGAAATCAGTTATGGATGACCCCATACTTTGTCATTGATTGGAGGGGTAAAGAATGGCTGACAGTCTAAATTTTTCTCAAATTATTATGGTTAAGTCTCAATATTTTTTTTATTTTCCTCCTTGCTGCTTTATAAAGAATGAGTTTGTTGTATTGCTTAATTTTTTCAAAGGATCTCACTTATAGCATCATTTGTAAACCTCTAAAAAATGATTTCTTACTAAATCATATCATATTTGCTTTCCTTTTTTTTTCTTTTTTTGTTAGAGATGCTGAGGCCAGAAACTGGATCTGGAACAGAGTTCATATTTGTGGGCATCCCTGCAAGAAGCTCATCTCCTTCAGCTATGGTTGTGAGTACTGCTAAGAACACACTGGTTGACATAGTAACTTCGGCAGATGGCAGGACAGTGTCATGGATTTTTCTTAAGCCAGGGGAATGGAAAGAATTTGAAGCTGTAAGTAACTTATTTATCAATAAGTTTCTATTGTTTAAAGAAATTTAACATTTTCTTAACAGATCTCTGAGGGAATTTTAATTATTGACATCTGATTTATGCTATCAATTGGTTATGGAGCTTGTTAATTTGGTCAAATCATATAATAAATTATGTATTTATAGAGTTAATTCCCCTTTTCATTAGGACTTTATCAAAGGCAACTGTGTTATCAAAAGTGATCAAAATGTACACGTACTGATAGTTCAAAGTTCCCCATGCTCAAATATTGATGGATATATGGTGGAACCTCTTGGTGACGCAGCCATAAGCCTGCTCATTCCTAATTCACAGTTTTTTATGAGATATCATTGGAAGTAAGTAAAGCTTTAAAAAAAAAAGTGCATCTGATTATTAGGGTTTTCTTGTTTTGTTGCTGACCCGCTCAAACATCAGTTCTCTTCTGTTATTTTTAAACTTTTCAGTACTGCTGGGACATCCAAAAAGACATATATTGTGATTGTTGCTGAATGGCCGAACACAACTGATCTTTTGTTGGATGATAAAACCTTGTCCTCTGAGTAAGTTACAGAAATGTAGAATAGTTTATTTTATTTTAAGAGTAGTAATTAAATATGAAAAGCAAATACTGAATTAAGGAATTGGTCAGTTCGCATTGGCTGATGATTGACGTGAGTACTCATTTTGTGACTATGAATGAGCCAAGTTGAAATTTGCAGTAAATGAAGAAAAGATTTTGAAATATTTATATTTTTAAGTCAATCTAAAACATAGGCCATAAATTGCAGCTTTATTCAAAATTTTCAGAATTAGACTTCTACTCAAACTACTGATTTGTTAGCATTTTCATTTCACTGACCTCCATTTTCTAGCTTACCTTTTATTAAGAACTAGGCTTACTAGTAATTAAAAAAAATATTATTATATCATTGTTTCATTTTAAATTGTTTGTTGTTGGACTTAAATATTTTGATTTCTATTTCTCTTTAAGTGTTGAGTGGGCTCAAGTTTTCGGGTCAACCAAGTTTCGAGTTGCCAATATAGAGGTGTCACAAAATTCACACTCACTTGTTTCAACAAAATTCAAATATTTTGGATTATATCTCTATGGCTTGTCAGAACAAATGGCATACATGCATCCAGTTGGATTTAACGTAAGGATTTTACTTTAACATTGATCAAACGTGCGAAATGAAGTTAGACAAATAGCATTTTACACAACTGCATTAACACCCACAATTATTTTAGTGAAATAAAAAATTTTAAGAACAGTTTTAATGGATTAGGCCTACATTTTGTTTATCAGTGAGTCTTTGAAGTTAAAGATATGTGTCCTAAATATAATTTATAAACTATCATCATGATTTTGGCTACTTTTCAAAAGACAAGGCACGACAAGATAAAAAATGTCATATGAGATGGCTTAGGCAATGTTTTCCATTTTTAATTTGATTAATGAGAGTTAACAGAGGTTTATTTTACTTTATAAAACAACATCGTAAATACATTTTCAGGAGCTTTGAAATTTATCTTTAGACAAATTCATTTCAATTTGGTGGATCATTTTTTTAAAATTGTGCATGTGTTATATGTTAGTTACAAAACTGTTATGGACTGTATTTAAGTAATTTTTTTTTTAACACCATTCTTATAACTGTCCTCAAAATTGCTGTGAAGTTGATAGTTTTGTTATTTAAATTAGCAGTACTTAATCCTTTCGCTTGAAAGCTGCCATCACAAACCCTTAGCCAACTTTAAGCAATAGTGCAGAAATGCAGCATTTAATCAATGTCTGAATTGCAACAGGGATGTAAATTTAACTCAACTTTGACAAAGATAAATTTCGATAAAGACTGTGACTACCCATCAGATAAAGAAATGTATGGAATTATAGGTAAGATTGAGGAAATGTTTTGAAAAATGTTACAATTCTTTGCTTGTGGGTGTGTGGGAGGGGGGTGGGGGAGAAGATAGGAGGAAGGGAGGAGGGTGGGGGGTAATTAAAATCCTCTTATAAATTGGCCTAATCTTAAATGTATATAATTATATCTTCAGCCATGGGTTTAAGTCTCAAAATCTCCACCTTGTATATTGATAGCCCATCATTTTCACTGTGTAGATGTGAATAATGAGCTTGGTTCCACAGAGAGACTTAACAAAAAATGAGGCACTTTTAGGGTTCTCTAGCCAGGACCAAATTTACTATCTTCTTGGGAAACTTAAGAATTCCTTGTCAGATCCTAAAATTTTAGTTCAACCTTCACTTGGGGGGGAAATTGTTTACAGAGATTCATTTCTGAACTTGGCTAAATATTTTTCAAATTTATCATGCATAAATTGAATTCGTCTTTAGTTGATAATTTAGTTGACCTGTTTATTCAAACTATCCAAAAAGCCTGATCCAGAGTCCGAAGAAGGTTTTGTTGTTCATACTGAAGGTACCGGTCATATCATAATTTAAGAATCAGGTGTATCTACTCAAATAGCAGTTCAAAAAGTCAGGAATATTATGAACAAAATATATGGAAGCTTGAAATATAGAAAACAACAGCATTTAAACTGTTGTTGCTGTGTTTCACATTTCAAGCTTATAATTATACATCTCTTGTTTATATTACCTTCGCATGGTTGAACGCACCCTCCAAAAAATTATCCTTCAGAAAAGAACAAGCCTTTGCTATTTATCTCATCATTTGAAAGCGTAAGAAAGTGTAAATATTGTGAATCTGGAAACAAAAGCTGTGTTGAGTTGATGGATAGGACAAGTTTTCATGACATTTTTAAAAATAGATTTTAAAAAATAATGTTGGATTTTGAAATCAGCCTCCGCTTAAATCAATGTTCCACATAGTTTATTTTGAACCCCTCATACAGGGGATGTTCATTTACAAACCATGCTTTGCTGATTGAGTGATGGAGTAGTCACTTATTAACTTTCACCACTGTTTACAAGCCATACTTTGCTGTTGAATTCACAAATGAGTTAATACTTTTTAAAAAATAATTATTGTACCCAAAAGGCCAAGGTTTGGACCTTTTCAGAAAAAATTAAGGCATTGTAAAAGCACATTTGTTTCAAACTTAATTTTGCTCGGCATTTGTTATTTCTTATTGCATGTCTTAATGTTAAATTGAGTCATAGCTGCAGTAATAATTGATTGAAGCATATATGAAAAAGTGGCATACTGTTCTATGTAAATTAAACGCACAAAAAACACAGTGATCAAAATTACTAATGAATCATAAGACTCTTAAACTATTGAAATTAAACAGTAAATATTTAAATCTCTAACTTTTCAGAATCAGGCCAAACAGACGCGCCAGTAGGTTAGTATAAACATATTAGTTGCTAGCTATTTATGATAAAGAAATATAAATAATTAAAAGATATGCTATAAAATCAATTATTTAATTTTTTATCGAATCCTTTCAAGTGTGCTGTGTTTTTTGCAGTTTCACCTGTATGCTTTGAATAAGCTGGGCTTAGTGTGTTTGCTACTTAAAAAAATACTTAATTCTACTTTGATATCAGTACAAAAGGAAGAATGTATGCTTAGCTACTTTAAGAATGACACCTGTGAAGTGTTGACTCTGTGAATGTTGACCCTATCTGGCAGAAATAAAAGTTATCAGCTATAAGTCTTACAGCTCTGATACACACGTAGATTCAAGCAATAATAATTTCTCATCAATAGAATGAGAGACACTACATCTGATGGGCTGCCTAAATTCCTGTTATAAGTTAGGGGATAAGTGCAATGGGCTTATCAAAACATTTAAGTTTTTTTAAAAAGCAGAGCTCTTATTAACAAAACAAATATAATTTCAGTATATTGTATTGGAAGAAGAACTTCATACAATCTTTTGACAACAAGTTATTTACAACATGAAAGAGAAAGTAGTGACGTAGTTCATTGTTCTGTTAGAATAATGGCAACTTCATTTATCAAAGCACTGATTTGTTGACTAGAGACACAAAACATAACAGTTAATTGTACCATTTCCTTTCAGAAAGAATGAAAAGACGTAAGTTATTTTATAAATGATATTTTTGCTTTAAAATTTACTTCTGCAATTTTTTAAATGATATACCAAGCCAGTTCTTCTCTTATCCCTTGTGTGATACTCTTATCCATTGTGAGCTACTCTTATTCCATGTGTGCTACTCTTATCCCTTGTGTGCTACTGTTATTCCTTGTGTGCTGCTCTTATCTCTTGTAAGCTACTCTTATCTCTTGTGTGCTACTCTTATTCCTTGTGTGCTACTCTTATTCCTCGTGTGCTACTCTTTTCTCTTGTGTGATACTATTAGAAGACAAGTGTAAGGAGAAGGCGTGATGGAACCATACGAATTGTATGATCTAACCAATAAACTTATGTGATTCAAACATGTCTATATTATACAAAGTTTGTGCAGCTTTTCGACTTATTTCTATGGATATTTAAAATCTAAATAAAAATAACAAGGCTGATAAAATTACATTTACATTTTTACAAAATATATGTCAAGCATGGGAAAGATGTGAATGGATATTTGTACAATAAGGAGATAAACTATATGAAAACTAACCCAGGGCATATACTCTGTTACACATTACCTGCCTGCCCCAAGCCCCCCCCCCCACCCCCGCCCTTAGAGAAAAGAGAATGACACATTTTAATGCTAAATGGTCATGATAAAAAAAGAAACTCCTTGCATTTATTTAGTGGTGTTTCTTATGTCATTTTTTTTTTTTTTTTGCACATAATTTTCATTTCATCAACAACTGAATGATTGTTTTTATTTTGAAGAAGCTGCAAGCGGTAGGACTACAGTAGCTGCCATGGGTAAGAAAATAACTGAAATATTGTACGTTTTGTGTATTTGTTGTATACGCACTTGTAGCATTTATCTCCCACACCTTATTTGTTGGTTTATTGGGTTATGATATGTTTGTAAATTCAATAAGTTCTCTAGCAGAGGTCATGTGTTGTCTTGGCATGCGGCATGTGACGACTTTCTATTTGCCTCTATTAGAATTATAACGGTGTTGTTGGGACGATATTTTTTTAAAATGACATCTTCCTAAATGACTGTCATCGGCTTAACCACACCCCCCCTCCCCACCCCCACCCACACCCTTTTCTTTTAAAAATTATCCCACTTAAAGCCAACGACGCCAGAAATTGTAGCAATGTGGGTGTTTGTGGTGGTGGTAGTGAACGAGGCTGACAGTTTTACTAATATACACTAAAGAAATTCAGGTCTTGAGGACTGTAGCTTTATTTGAACACTAAAGACAAATACGGAAGAAAAAGTCCCCACCCCAAATAGTTTGCTATGAAGAAAAAGGGCTAAAGAAAGAGTCCAAAGAAAAAGGACAATATCTGAAAAGAAACAAATAATACAGGTTAACCATGTCCTGACTGACATTGAATAACACAGCTACCAATTAAACATTAACTAACCCTGTAATTATATGGTGTGACAAAATATACTTGACTAAGAAGAATGTATGCGTACATTTTATACAAAGTGTTGGACTGCGATAAAGCTTTAAAATAGATTAATAAGACACGAACAAATTGTGTCAATAGAACAATATGAGTTACGATTTAATAATAATTATACATTATACACAATTAAACGTTTCGGCACATGCTTTCATCAGTACAAAGAAAACACAACACATTTAAATAAGTATAAATTAAATTTACATAATATCAATATAGACCTGAATTTCTTTAGTGTATATTACTCTACTTCTCTTTACTTTGTTTTTGTCTGATTTTAGCGCCCTCTCCTATATTTTTTCTGTTTTAGGTAGGATATGTATATTGATATTATGTAAATTTAAATTATACTTATTTAAATGTGTTTTGTTGACACAATTGAGAGACGCGAGCTAATGGTGACTTACTCTTTGAAAGCTTGAGGATACTTTTAGCACCTGTTTTGATTCTCATGGGGTCATGCCTTAGTGCAAAGAAAATAATGATATTATAAGAGTGCGGTCATTTTAAAGAAAATATTTGGTTTAAAGGTTAGCGTCAGTGTAGAAACTCAATTAATCCAGCTAATTATGTCCAGACATAACGCTTATAACATTAGTTCAGAACATAATTGTGTTTTAAAGGATTATAAGATAGAAACTGGACATAGTTTCATTTTGTACTTTCAGGAAATGGCCAATGGTCAGACTGGCAATTTTGGACGTGCATAAAGAGTTGTGCTATTCAAATTCTGAGTAGGCAGAGGTAGTGTAATAATTTTTTTTTTCATTGTGGATAATTTGCACTTAATTTTATAGTGGCTTTTGTTGTTGTTATTTTTGGAGATAGCCCAAAAGTCAGGCCTTCAGGGGTCATCCATAATTATATTACGGTATGTGCACACTGAATGGGGTGGGGGTGCAGTTGATTTAGTAGATTTTGCGTTAGGATTCCTATGGGGAGGGGACTGTGTCTCAGCATAATATGTACGTGCATTTATCCACTCATTCTACAATAGTTAATCTCAAAACTCTGACAGTCCTTAAATAGTTTATTTATTATTTACCTCTAAAATAAATCCAAGAGTCAGCCAACAAATCTGTGAAATACAGGATTTCTAATTTTTTTCTGGGCTATAAAAATATCACTGCAATTTTTCCTATTTATCAGCATTGATGTCACAACAGTAATGTGTAACCTATTGACAACATACTTTTTTAGTGACATAATTTTTTCACTGGCTAAACCAAAGATTTTATTTGATATGCCAAATGCCCAAAATCCTTGACATAATTTTTAACAAGGTTTATGGTAAATACTTTTTTTAGCCTTTTACTTTGTAATTGTCAATAAATAAATTTAAAGGGGAAAAGGGGGGAGGGGATTACTATTTTGACTTACACATAAGGTTTGTGTGTCCAAAAATTTTTGGTTGCAACAGGGATGTGGGTTAAAAATTTTGACTTTTTATTATTTAATATATGGATGGTCCTATAACTAACTCTGATGCCACATGCTAATGTTCACAGGCACTGTGACAATCCTGCTCCAAGTGACAATGGCAAGGCCTGCTGGGGAGATGAAGAGGAGTACCAAAACCAGCCGTGTGATACAGAATTAGAATGCACTATAGGTAAGCCAATTTTCATGCCGCCCCAGAATTAGTATGTCCTTCCACCTCAGAATTAGACTGTCCTATAGGTAAGCCAAGTTTCCTTCCACCTAAGAACTAAACTATCCCATAGGTAAGCCAAGTTTCATGCCACCTGTTTCAATTTACCCATAGTCTAACATTTTTAGATGTTTGTGTACCTGATATTTGGATAGTTGTAAAAGAAGTCTTCAAATTCAACCCTCATATACATCATCCAATAGTTGAATCACCATTAAAATCTAAGTGTTAAGTAATTTATTCTGTGAATGTATATATGCCAAGGTCAAGGTCTGTCAACTCAAAATAAAAAATGGAAGATATATTTATTTATATAAAAAAGCAAGATGTGTTCATTAAAGGATAGCCAAGTAACCCTTGTATTGTTTTCTACCCCTTGGGTTTTAAAAAACAACTCTACATGTTAACTAGGGTTGTTGCCCTTATTTGAAGAGAATTATTTTATTTTTATTTCAACAAGGCTGAGTGGCCCATCAAGTGTGTTCAAAAATATTTATGCAGACATTGTTAAGTTGACATAGCTGTGCTGGCATAGCTATAGTCAGCTCCACATAATGATATAAGCATAAGTTTCCTTTATTTATATGAAATAAAATGTCAGATTCATAAAGAACACTGATTAACATATTCTCATTATTTTGTTTAGAGCCTTATCCCCCGGATCTGGAGAGGCCACGTACGTACATTTATTTTAACTTACTAAACTTACTTTATTTTTAATTTCACTGCTGTGTTTAATTAACTGTTGTTACCGGTATTGTTTTTCTTAAATTTTAATTAAATTCTCTAAAATGTGTGTGAAACCAGTCAGATCCAATTTAGCTTTGAAAACTTCTACAACAGGGGCTCTCATACTTTTCTGCTAACCCCACTCGGTATCATAAACTCATCAATAATGCCTCCTCCTGATTTACACCACTACAAGCATTCTCAAAATGTGATTTTTTTTTTAGCCAGTGTTTGAACCACGAATGTAGCAGAGAGTTAATTTTTGTGTGAAAGGGGGATGGAATAGTTTAAATTGTTCAGAGTCTTATGATCTAACCATCTAATATGTGGGATCAAATTCTGCTACAAAAAGTCCCCCAAAAACTGTATAAAAGCATGAAAAATCATACAGAAAAATATGAAAATACAAAAAAGTAATGTTTTCATCATGTTACAATCAATATTTTGAATGCATGCAAA